GTGCTGTAATTAATGTTGGTGGTTCCTGCACATGTCTGTAATCATAGGAAAACAGTAAAAGGTCTCTACTATAATCTATGCAAAAGTTATTGTGTTCCAACTGATGAGAGGTGCTGTACAAGCCACAGGGAGCGATCATTGTTTTCATATTTCACTATTCTTTTGTTTAATCAAACATAATTCACTGTGTTTGGACCATGTCAGACATATAGACCTTTTTCTAGGAATGCAAAATTACCCATGATGCTTTGCGTGTATGCGCAATGAGAATGCGAAGAACTTCCGGTCGGCAGCTGATGCGTGTAAACAGTCACATTTGGACAGCTGTGAAACGATAGTTTTACTCTATTTGACCTGCTTTTATCCTCTTTGAACTAATACTGTTGTCCATCAGCAGCATCTCCTCGACTGATCATTTAAAGAAATGTGATCTAATAGGATGGAAAACAGCTGCTGTGAGGCGTTTCCCCCTCGTTGTCAGACGGCATCTTCTGCAGTTTAAATGAAGCCTCGTCATCGCTAAAGTCAACATTTTCTCTTTATTTCAAATATATAACCAGCCCAAACTAATGTAGTTCACCAAAATGTTTGACACACACACACGTAGCCTGTACTGTGCCACTGACACACTGATTTAATAACTGTGACAAAGTGAAAATATAGACTAGTGTCATTTCCAAATGACAGAAAAACACAAACCGTGGTGAAAACAACACACGAAATAAAACACAAACGGCTCGCGATTAGAATGAACAGCAAATCAGCAGCAGAGGATCAATAACAGACTTTTATTGCTCATTTTTGTAAATTGCACGACTTTCATACCTGTTAAGTTTCATGCCAGTACACTCTCTCTCTCTCTCTCTCTCTCTCTCTCTCTCTTTCTCTGTGTGTGTGTGTGTGTGTTAAAGAGCCGCTGAGCTAACAGCTGACAGGCCGGGAACGCACACACACACTGTATTTCTGACGGCAGACACGTGAACTAGGAGAACGTTTTTCTCGTATTTCTGACGCGCTTGAACCACACGTGACAGATTATAACGGCTTTAACAGACACATTTCTAAGTAGTGTGTCACAAAAACACTCTGTTATCCATTAAAAACGTTATTGAAACCCATTTTCGGAGCGCAAATAACCAGTTGTACATGCTGTAAACGAAAGTCTTTAGCATTCTACTGGAAGACGCTGGTCGCTATGGCGCCCTCCATGCAGCAGCCATGAAAAAGGTCTATAAAAGGATTACTTATGCACATCACCTCAAAAACAGAGGAGAAATGGCCCTGAAGCGCAAAGCATAAGGTAAGAGATGACAGCTGTCTGTGCTATCTGGGGCTGCTAAGTGATCATAAATGTATTGTATTCAGAAATGATTATTCTAATCCTCATAGACAAGAAAAAATACAGTAGCGACTGCAGGTTGAAGGAAAGCAGTGGAGTAAAAGTACAGATACAGCACTAAACATGTACTCAAGGGAAAGTAAAAGTTCACATTTATAAAACTACTTAGTAAATTACAATTCCTGAGAAAAACTACCCAATTACAGTCATTTGAGTATTTGTACTGGTGACCGTACACTCAAAAAATGTATTCATTATATTTACTAATTTTTGTAAGCTAAACAATTTATACGGGCTGATTTTAAACAAGCAGACTAGATGTAGCAGTCTTTACTTAATTTCATTCATTCATTCAGTCATTCATTCATTCATTCATCTTCTGCCGCTTTTCCGGGGCCGGGTTGCAGGGGCTGCAGTCTTAGGAGAGAACCCCAGACTTCCCTCTCCCCAGACACTTCCTCCAGCTCCTCCGGGGGATCCCGAGGCGTACCCAGGCCAGCCGAGAGGTTGCCTTCCGTTGGGACCTGCCTGGAACACCTCCCTAGGTAGGCATCCAGGAGGCATCCAGAACAGATGCCTGAGCCACCTCAGCTGACTTCTCTGGATGTGGAGGAGCAGCAGCTCTACTCCAAGCTTCTCCCGGGTGTCAGAGCTCATCACCCAATCCATAAGAGTGCGCCGTGCCACCCTTCGAAGGAAACTCATTTCGGACGCTTGTATACGAAATCTTAAAAGATCCAAAGCTTAATTTGTTTGTTTAAATTCAGTCCTTATATAAATTATTTGCAACCACTCACCTTAACGAAATGTAGTAAACCCAATGAATCATTCTCTTTCAGTGTGTGTTAATGTTTGCTCCGAGCCAGTCGTGCGGTGCTGCGGTTTCCCGGTGTTTAATCACACTGAGATATCAAAACCACCAGCCCTCTTGAGGCAATTACCAAGTGTTACATTGCAGATTAGCAGATTTCCTTGCCACAGGCCCTTCCTGATCAAACTTCCCAATCAAACATTGAATAAGTCATATAAAACCAGCTGAATCAATCAGCCTTGGGGAGAAAACCCAACATAAGTGGCGAGATTGATCGGCTAAATGGAATTTAAAACAACTTTTAATAGAAAGCATTTCACTATCAAGACAGTCTGCGGTGGAGTGATGAAAAGAGCAAACGCTTCCGTCATGTGGAGTATCTTACAGACAAGTGTGTTTCATTAGATATGCTTTTTTACCAAAACACAGTTCACAAACACTTTTAAAAATCTGTAAATTAGCAGTGTTCAGTGTTTTGTGATTCACGTTTTTATTTTTCCTCGTTTGTTTATGCGTTTGAGTTGCATTTTAGGAGCTTGATCTTTCTTCCAACAACTTTAAACCTTGAAAAGGTTACTTTTCTGAGCATGTGTAATAGTTTGCAGTGCTTTATTGTCTGGGTTGGTTTTGTACAGTGCATCAGGAGAGTATTGAAAGCGCTTTACTTATTCCACATTTGTTTATGTTTAAAGCCTTTTTCCAAAATTGATCAAATTTATTTATTTCATCAACATTCTACACACAATCCCCCATGATGACAATGTGAAGAAAGAGTTCTTGAAATTGTTGTAAAATTATTATAATTTAAAAAGCTGTAAAATCACATGTACATCAGTATTCACAGGCTTTGCTAAATACTTTGTTGATGCCCCTTTGGCAGTGATTACAGCTTCAAGTCTTTCTGAATATGATGCCACAAGCTCTGCACATCTGTCTTTGGGAATGTTTGCCCATTCCTCTTGGCAGCACCTCTCAAGCTCTATCAGGTTGGATGGGAAGTGACAGTGTACAGCCATTTTCAGATCTCTCCAGAGATGTTCAATAGGATTTAGGGTCTGGGCTCTGGCTGGGCCACTCAAGGACATTCATCGAGTTGTCGTGAAGCCACTCCATTGAAATGTTCACGGTGTGCTTTGGGTCATTGTCCTGCTTGAAGATGAACCAACGCCACAGTCAAGAGCACTCTTGTGCAGGTCTTCATTCAGGATGTCTCTGTACATTGCTGCATTCATCTTTCCCTTTATCCTGACTAGTCTTCCAGTTCCTGCCGATGAAACACATCCCCACAGCATGATGCCAACACCACCATGCTTCACTGTTAGCCTGGTGATGAGCGCTGTCTGCTTTTCTCCAAAGGTAATGCCTGGCGTTCACTCCAAAGAGTTCAGTTTGAGTCTCATCAGAGCAGAGAGTTTAGTTTCTGATGGTCTGAGAGTTCTTCAGATGCCTTTTGGCAAATTCCAGGTGGGGAGTGTCTTCCGTCTGGCCACTCCCGCTCTACCATACAGATGCCTGATTGGTGGATTGCTGCACAGATGGTTGTCCTTCTGTAAGGTTCTCCTCTCTACACAGAAGAACGCTGGAGCTCAGACAGAGTGACCATCGGGTTATTGATCACCTCCCTGACTAAGCCCCTTCACCCCCGATCACTCAGCTTAGATGGCCGGCCAGCTCTAGGAAGAGCCCTGGTGGTTCCAAACATCTCAATGAACAGTTGCATGCATGTACTTTGTGTTTATTTACTCTTTTAAATTGCATTATGGGGTCTTGATCTCTGCTCTGGCAAATACTGGTGCTGAAATTGTGTGTTGTAAAATGTATTTTTATTGATATTTTAGTAGTTTGCTTATATATTGAATCAAAATATCACAGAATGAGTCGCCAATTTATCCAGCATATGTTTTACACAGCAGACGCCCTTCCAGCTGCAACCCAGTACTGGGAAAAACCCATTCACACTTATACACTACGGCCAATTTAGTTCATCAATTCCCCTATAGCGCATGTGTTTGGACTGTGGGGGAAACCGTGGGGAAACTGTGGGGGAAACACCCAGAGGAAACCCACGCCACCACGGGTAGAACATGCAAACTCTACACGGAAATGGCAACTTGGCCAGCCGGGACTTGAACCAGAAACCTTCCTGCTGTAAGGCTACAGTGCTAACCACTGAGCCACCATGTCACCTGAATCAAAATATCTTCATTCATTCATTCATTAATTTTCGAGTCGGCTTAGTCCCTTTATTAATTCGGGGTCGCCACAGCGGAATGAACCACCAACTTATCCAGCAAGTTTTTGAGGAGCGGATGCCCTTCCAGCCACTTCTGGGAAACATCCACACACACATTCACACACACACTCATACACTACGGACAATTTAGCCTACCCAATTCACCTGTACCGCATGTCTTTGGAATTGTGGGGGAAACCGGAGCACCCAGAGGAAACCAACGCGAAGGCAGGGAGAACATGCAAACTCCACACAGAAACACCAACTGAGCCGAGGATCGAACCAGCGAACCAGCGACCTTCTTGCTGTGAGGCGACAGCACTACCTACTGCGCCACTGCCTCGCCTCCAAATATCTTCAGTGAAGTGTAAATAAACTGGAAAGTGTTGGGAGTCAAAGCCTTGTAAACTGTGCTGCTTTATAAACCGCAATCTAATATTTGCTTTTATCTTGTTTCATTTTCTCCTCTGTCCAGATCAACGCTGACATGTGACCCATTTTAGAGAAGCGTCCCACCGGTTGAGACCCCCTGCGCTCTACATTTATAACATTATCACAGATTATAAAGCGGCCCTGGGTCCGATGTTTGCATTAGAAGAGAGCAGAGCAGAACTCACAGGCGATGCGCACGAAAGCCTTTTGGCTCTTCTGGGTTCCTGTAGTGCTCCAGGCCACACACTGACACCAGTAATCCTCCAGACCGAAGATCTTCTCCACCTGCTGTCTGGAGATGTCGATCTTTACCTGCATCACCGGCAGCCCTGAAACACACAGCAGAGGAACGTTCAGCACAGTGCTGGAAACACACACACACACACACACACACACACACACACACACACACACACACACACACACACACACACACACACACAAACACACACACACACACACACACACACACACACACACACACACACACACACACACACACACACACAAACTCACACACACACACACTCACACACACACACACACACTTTAGCCTTCTAAAGTCAGCTTTGGGTAAAAAAAATCTCTATATAAATATATATATATATATATATATATATATATATATATATATATATATATATATATAGATATATATATATATATATATATATATATATATATAT